GTGTCTTTTTATTCCTGTGAGAGTAGGTGTTTGTCTCTCTCTGTGTGTGTGTGTGTGTGTGTGTGTGTGTGTGTGTGTGTGTGTGTGTGTGTGTGCATGGTTGTTTGTCCACTGTGTTGCCCTGCGACAGACTGGCGACCTGTCCAGGATGCACCCCGCCTCTCGCCCGGAATGTTAGCTGGAGATGGGCACCAGCAACCCTCCCGACCCCACTAAAGGACAAGGGTGTAAAGAAAATGGATGGAAGGATGGATTTCTCTTTGATCCAACTAGAACATGGCTGGACAGGGATCCAATTTTGCTTTGCCACCATGCAAAAAAAAAATCTCCAGCGGGATAACAAGTCGCCAATTCATCACAAGGCTACAAATCTCAAAAAAACAAAAAAAAAACTAACAAAAAAACAACTTAAATGAATGTATTAAGCTCTAAAACCCTGAGCTGTAGGAAAGACACAGTGCCGTTGATGTTTTTGCAGAATGTTTTATGCTTACTGTGCAGATGAATATTGTTACAGCCGAGGAGGAAAAAAAAACAAAACTACATCATATTTTGTTGCTTCTTCTCTTCTGTTTGTATCCATCGCTGAACACGACAGACTGACGGAAGTTCACCTAGCGCTGCTGTCATAGTGATGGTTGTCATGGCGATACTCCTGGTGAGTGTTCTCGCAGGTGTCTGGCTGGTGAAGAAGTACGTCTGTGGTGGACGGTGAGTTGCCATTTTTTTTTTTTCTGATCTCGCCGCCCAAACGCTGCTCACATTCCTCCCGTCTTCTCCCCTCAGCCCCTCAAACTAATGTTCTGTTTTTCTCCAGGTTCCTCGTTCACCGATACTCTGTGATGAGGGAACACGTGGAAGCAAACAAAATCGAGGGAGTAGACGACGTCGACACCAACTACATGGAGACAGAGAAAACACAGTTCAACAACGATTCGGATCAAGTGTGTAATACTTGCATGCAGGCCCATTAGCATGGATCTGTACGACAACGCGGTGCATTGTGGAAATCTGTGCAGAAATCTGAGTTCTCGATTTGTGTTGGAGAATCAGATTAAATGGAGCCGAGTACAAACGCACACCACATTTTATAGGCTTCATTTCAAAATAAAACTTGAAACCCTTTGTAAATTCCAAAACTAAAGTCTCTGTTGTCTTGCTTGTGTCTCTTGACAGGATCTCTTGGAATAAAAGTTAAGGCTTTCAAGATGGCTGAGGATTCCTGTTGCTCCAACGTTCTCTGTTTAACATCTGCTTCTCACTTCTCGCTGCCCCTGGTGACCCTGCAGCAACTTGCGCTGACACGTTGCATGATTGTGTCAGATTTGGCTTCTTAAAAAACGTGGTAAATAGTCTGGGACAGAAAAACAACAACAACAAAAATGCCTTCTGATCAAATAAGCCTACCAGGATGTTTAAGGGCGCAACCAAGCAACAGAAAACATAATAGAAGCAGTCTTTTATGTCCAGAGACGTTACCTGCTGTCATTTTAGTACTTTGCAAATGTAAAACCTGCCAGATATATTTCTGTGGAATATGGAGTATGTCATCACCAAATTTATTTTAGAAGACTATTCACTTTTCTGGAGTTTCTTAATGGTTAGATGTATTTTTTTTAAATAAGCTATTTCTATTTTATCAGAAGCTACTGTGATCAGTATTTTGTCATTTTATCCTGACTTTTAGCAATGTGTGGTTCGTTATGTTTTTTTTTTTTTTTTACCAACTTTGCTAAGAGTAATAGTCTTTGATTCTTAATTGGTAAAAACTGAGCAGATTTTGTTGGTCTTCTCGCAGTAAGTGATGCAGTTAACATGCAAACTCTTCAAGTTGCTCCAGTGACTGCCAGGTTCAAAACGATAAGAATATTCTATAAGTACGGTTTGATTTTGTTTCCGTCGGATAAAGGAATTACGTTTAAATTGTAAACGTACCGGTAATTCAAGTTTGGGAAATGTTTATCAAATTTTTTACGACTATGTACTCATCAGTAGTTTTCTAATAATTACCACTTTTGCAAAAAATAGCTGTGGTAGATCAGTTTTTTAAAGCAGAATAAACACAGATTTGGCCCGTTAGGTGAAATGTGCGTCCTGTAAATGTCATGTTATTAACCTGCTGGAACTATGTCTGCAGTATTTGTCGCTGTTGCATACATTCAAGCTAAAGGATTGGGCGTATATTATTAGTAAATTACGAGCTAGATGCTAACATTCTCTTTCATCCAGCTGTTTTTAAATACAACACACTCCACGTTTGTTGGCATCTCGGCTTGAAAATATGCAAAAAGTTTCAAAATAAATGTGTTTTCTTGCAATACAGAAATGTTTATACAGAAAATGAGTCAAAATCTAACCTGTTTTGTGTATTTTTATTCAATTTGGGAAAAGAATTCAGTGTTATGAAATAATTTTTAAAAGATAAGTCACTCACGCCAAAATCAATGACTCCAGAAAATTTCCTGTAAAACAGATGTAACAGAAGCATTTTCTGATTTAAACTTTTACTCAAAATGATTAAAGTTTCTAGGAATTGTAAGTTAAACTTTCTTTTTCTTATTGCATAAACATGACATGATAAAAAGCATAATTTTTCTTGGTTAGTATTCAAAATGTGAAACACGTTAGTGTTTCAAGGCAGACATTTGCTGATTTTATTTAGTGGTTAAAAAATGCCATTATAAAAAATCCACCAGTTATTGGCATTGCTAACATCTTCTATGAATAACTGGAGCATTTTGTAAGATACACTTTATTTTTTTATGTGTCCAGCAACTTGTAATTAGTGATCCATGACTTCCTGTTTAGATGTGATGAATGTTATGCACAGTGGCGCAGTTGGTAGAGCTGTTGCCGTGCAGCAAGAAGGTTCTGGGTTCGATTCCCGGCCCCGGTGTTTCTGCATGGAGTTTGCATGTTCTCCCTGTGCATGCGTGGGTTTTCTCCGAGTACTCCGGTTTCCTCCCACAGTCCAAAAAACATGACTGTTAGGTTAATTGGTCTGTCTAAATTGCCCCTGTGTGTGCGCATGGTTGTGTGTCTGTGTTGCCCTGCGACAGACTGGCGACCTGTCCAGGGTGTACCCCGCCTCTCGCCCGGAACATTAGCTGGAGATAGGCACCAGCACCCCTCCCGACCCCACTGAGGGATAAGGGTGTTCAGAAAATGGATGGATGGGATTTGAAAGTGATTTGAGAGCTCATACATATAGATTTGTAATGCAATTACTGCTACTTCCAAATAGTTTTCTTACATGAACAACTATCGCCTTATGTGACCGAAAAAAACTGCAGAGCCCGAAACAATATACGAAATGATTATTTTATGTCCCGTTGTGTGAGGTGACACTCTGAACTTACACATTACCATTTCTTCGATGATATAAAATGCGCTAGCCTTTCTTCTTCTTCTGTCCTGTTCGCATGGTGAAAAATGAAAGACTTGAATTGTTGCCAAAGCACTTTGATTGTACGTTTTTCTGATGTTTCAGGTGAAATTGTAAAGACTAAACCCAACATTAGACTAAATAGCATTTCCTGGATGTAAAGTTGAAGCTAACGCAAACTTGAACTCATGTTTTTTTTCCTAGCGGTGTCGATGCAGGTACTAAAATTATCAGCATATTTCTGTAGACACTTTAGAATGATAATCATGGTGGAATCCAAATATGTTAACATCACTAAGGTTGTACTTTTGCAGTAATAATAACTCAGTTCTATTATTTTTTGTGCTGGCTTATTACATAAGCTTTTACAGCGTTTGATTTGATTAACTGAATTTTATTAAAAAAAAAAAAAATTTACCTGTAGACTTGTCACATTTCTGTTTTCCGCTTTGTAAGACCTGGAACATTTGTCAAACACACAGGGTTTTTATAGTCAATGCTTGTTTTCTACAGCAGAGGCAATAGCAACCCAGTAAGTAAGCTATACGGTACCAAGCAGGCATAATAGTGAGGGATTTCTCAAAAAACTGGTGGATTTGTGCAAACAAGTTGAAATGCCTTATTTGTCCCAATTTACTCAAGTGTCTGAGAGTAAGCCCAGCTATTTACTGGATTGAATTATTTTTTTTGCACTCCCTTCAGATCTGTGAAAGTTTTGAAATGATTGTACAGCTACGGTACATACTGTCCATTTTTCAGACCGAGAGGTGTGGACCTGTTTCCCATCTTGATTTCTTTTCTGCTGGGGTGTAGGTTGAACTGGTCGGTGGTACAGATGTTTTGTAACAATTTTTTTGCATCTATGGATTAAAAGTAAAACACGATATTTCTCATATGTGTTCTTGTGTGTTTAATCAGATTTTTTTTTTTTTAAACAGAGGCCCAAGTATTTGAAGATAATAAATACACCCCACATGTGTTTGCTTCCACAATTGAGTTTTTATTTGTTCAAAGTTCTCTGCAAGTCTTATAGAGGAAACTTCAAACATGTGAATGAATGTCCATTGGTCATATGAGACCATAATTTAGCTGACACATGTAGAATGCAACCTGAAATACTAACACGATGATGCCATCTTGTCTCTCATTGTAGCTTCATGTTAGATGTCAATATATGTTAAAATATATATTTTAAAAAGATTTATAAGTCACAATAGGACATATCTGCATGACATTGCCTGAGCATTATTTCTTTGAAGGAACCTGTTTTATTTATTCTGTGCACTTAACAAAGATTTCCCCTCACATATGATCTTAATGGTGAACGTGTAGCTTATCTACTTGTCTAATAAAAATGTCAGTCTAATTATCAGACATATACTGCATGTAAATATTAACGAAGACAAGAAGTTGCTCTCTGATCAACCTTTTACAGTAAAATGTTGCACTCCGGCCTCTAGATGGCGCTGCAGTTAAACATTGGATTTGACCCCCCCAACTCTCAGTCTCAGTTGCCTAGTGATGACAAACTATCCACAGCTTCTGATTTCCTGTCTTTTCAAAAAAAAAAAAAAAAATCTCATCGCTGCCTCCGAAGCTAACTCGAAGTTTTCCGAACAGATTTTTCTGTTGTTTATGTGGAGAGCTCTGTCGAGCTATGGGACGAAGAAGCAGCTGTTGTCTCTCTGGGAGCCTCGTCTAGCGCTGGCTGGGCTTTTGACCGATGATGAATAACTATAGTTTCATCAGGGTCGTTGGGAAAGGAAGCTACGGAGAGGTGAACTTGGTGAAGCACAACACGGACCGAAAACAGGTGAGAAACAAATCTACAAAAACAGTTAATGCTAAAATATGTGTTTAAAAACGCCATGCGTTTGTAGTGATCACGCCAAAACATTGTAAATTTACCTAAAAGTCGGTTTAACCATAAAGGATTTGCTGAGATTTTTTTTTTTTTTAGTGTAGCAAAAGATATATTTTTAGAGTAGCATTTTATTTCTTCATCCAAATACTCAATATAAAAATGGATTTATAAATGAGAACACTTTCTGTATTGCTTGTATATAGCTATTTGTAACTGTCCTGAAATATGGCACTTGGTTAAATAATGCTAATGAGCTGGACATGATGAGAAAAATATTTGCATGGTGGTTACACGATCTTCCTCAGATTGAGTTGTGGCTTCCAAAAGAACTCATGTTCTTTGAACCTTTCCTTATTTTATCACAAACTTCAGTGGATTTCGTTAGATTAGACCTTATCTGATGGATGAATAAGTTGTGCATAACTGTGAGGTCACATAATGATACATGTCAATTCTTTAATGTGTTGCCCACATGTGTATTCGGCCCCCTTTGCTCTAATTTTGCTTCCCATTGCACAATTATGCACTAATTTGTGTTGGTCCGTCATATAAAACCCCCAAAAGATGCAATTGAGGTTGTGAAATATCAAAACGTGGGTAAAGGTAAAGAGGAACGACTGCTTTGGCAAAGAACTGTATGTTGGCACTGTGTGTTTCTGCTCTCTGTGTTCCTTCAGTATGTGATAAAGAAGCTGAATTTAACCACATCATCCAAACGGGAACGCCGTGCCGCGGAGCAGGAGGCCCAGCTTCTGTCCCGACTGCGACATCCCAACATTGTGACTTACAGGGAGTCGTGGGAAGGAGACGACCGTCAGCTGTATATCGTGATGGGCTTCTGTGAGGGCGGGGACCTCTATCACAGACTCAAACAGCAGAAAGGGGAACTGCTGCCAGAGAGGCAGGTCGTAGAGTGGTTTGTCCAGATAGCCATGGCACTTCAGGTACAACATATTGGCACACTTGGCTGAAAAAGTGGAATGGGCTGAATCGCTTTTGGAAATCGGGGAAGTCATAGTTGTGATTTGTTTGCTTTCCAGTACCTCCATGAGAGGAATATTCTTCACCGGGACCTTAAAACGCAGAATATCTTCCTGACCAAAACCAACATCATCAAA